ATGTGAAAATCTGTCGTTGATAATCTTTTGCAAACGCGGATTAATCTCATGCAATCGTTATAGGCTAGCTACGCACCGAAATGATAATGTAAAATGGATGCAACGCGACTAAAATCCAGAGTACAAAGGGAGAAGGGGGACAGAGAGAGAGAAAGAGAGAGATCGCATAAAACTACGTAACAATACGTGCACATAAATGTGTATGACCTCCCCGTCCCTCTGCTCACACTACTCATTTATCACTGCATCCGGAATGGCGCGAATCGTTCACCAGTTGGATGGAATTATTTATCTCGAAATGAAGGCTACGTTCGCGGTGAGCCGGGGCAGGTTGGATAGACGGCATGACATGGATGTCCTGATTTTTGTTTTATCGTTGAAAGATACAGCGGCCGTTATAACATCCACCGACTAACACGTTCGCTTGGGGTCATCGACGATCGGTGACCGACCGATATTCTATCGTAATGGATCAAATAAATGGCGATGAATAACAACATGGTTTTGCTTTAGATTGACGTAAAAATGTGTAATATTTCTTTTCCTCGTTTTTTTTCCCTCCCCCCGGACATCCCCGGAGAGGCAACCCAGTTATTGACGCTGATGTATATCAACGCGAATCAAATCTAGATTGATAAAGTGCAAACGCTACGGAATAATTTTTGTGGAGAAATATGTAAAAAAATTAAGAGGAAAATATATTCTGTAAAAAGTCTTGAGAAATTATAATATCGATAATATCGACGTAACATTATTATATTTCGCCGGTGATCGGAGATTGAATGTGGTATATTTCTGACAACACGATTTACACGTCACTGTAAATGGATTGCGCGATCCACCCCGTGTATGCAACGATAACTTTATCGCGGAAGTTCATTCTATCGGTACTCGAAAATCGTGCCAATGAATGTTCCTGACAAAAAGCTCTTACTCATACGTAGCTCTAATGCTTTCATTTCTATTATCCTTTGGACTCGCTTTTCTCTTTTATCATCCTTCTCTTTTTCTTCGTTTCGGAACGTTGGGTACGGTGCGAGTCCTCGTTACAAAGCATTGTAGATTAAATTTATCACGAATGCGGAAATCCGATGAAAGATACCGCGGATTACCGTCGTGAACATTATATTAAACCCCATTATGCCGTGGGGGAGGGAAGGGACTCGTTTCTCTTCTGTCCGGCATGTCACTAATGTTTTTGATGTTATTTATACAACGCAACTGTCATGCGGATGGAAAAATCGCATCTCGCGCGAAACATACACGCTTCTCTGTGCTTTACTCGGAAAAAAAAAATCCCCCGGAAAATACATGTCAAATGGTTTCGACGCATCTAGTTACGTTGTAAAAGCGAACGGAGCGGGTTGCATTTTGACCATTTCGATTTCGACAAAATCGATTTCGGAGCAACGGTCGCGCCATCGGCCACCGTGCCACACCGCACTCGTGACGTCGGAATTTTAGCGAGCCGTGGGGACCGCACAGGGCGCGTTGCCAGGGGCGCTAAAATATATGCTTAATATTTACTCCAGACCGCATGGCGAAACGTATGGCTGCCAGGCATAACAAATTTCATTATTAAGGACACTGACGGTCGAATGGCGTTTTCAGGGACACTGGCAGCGAATATTGGCCACGATAATGTCGAAAACGTAGGGCGAACGGCTAACGAATGATCGCTAAATTTATGCTTATTGTTACGCGGTAGAGCAATAATTGTATTTCTTCAAAAATAAAGTTAGCACGTATTATTAGCTTTTAATGATTGCGCAATAATGGGTTGAAACGATTATTCATTTGAAAGCGTAGCGGTGGTGGATTTATTCTGTTGGTATTTTTTAAGCAACGCGAAAAGATCGACTCATTTACTAATTATCTAATAATGTTCTTTATCCGGTCATTTATTGATACATTTCTATCCTACTTCTGATTATTCTCGTTCCGTACGAACTGAAAAGCAAATTTGATTGTGAAAATCGATATCAGAGATAATGCCATCAATATGGGATCACCATCCAATAGGATACGATAACCAAATGGCGAAATTGGCGAATATGGAAGTGAAATTTTGACACCTATAAGTATTAAGTAAATGCTGAAGTACCAATACATATTTTCAATTATTCAATTATTCAATCTGCAGTGTGCACCGTTATTTGTGCACAAAAATAAAAAATGAATTGCATTACATTATTGTGAAAATGCACGATTAATTAAGGAACAGAACGCAATAATAGTACCAATAATAAAATATCGTCACGTTAAGTCAAAAACGTCTATTCGAATGCAATTCGTACCAATTGTTTTAAAATTATTTATAACTTGTTATTGCTGCAATTTCATATCACGTGTAGTATATTTATTCATTTTTTTAATGCAACGATTCCTGTTTAACTAGTGTATATTTTTTTATTCTTTCTTTTTTATTCTTTCAGAGTGAAATTTCCTTTTCCTTATACAGGATATAGTACACGATTATGTATTTATTAATTGCAATTAAGTAGTTAGAATTATAAAGCTACACGGTCTTGACACGTACGTTATTATATATAAAATATTTCTACTTTCAGCACGGATATCGATGGTAAACACGCATTAACGTATAATTTGTATAATAGCAGCGGTGATTACATTAAAAGCTTATTTTACGAACATGTATATTTAATTACTGTAACACGGAAATGGAGAAGCGTATGCGTCCTGCAAGATATAAACTGCGAATGAAAAAATTGGCTTCTAATTTAAAAGATTTGCCCTTTTGATTTGCGCGAAACGTTTCGGATCGATTATTCCTCCCTC